TTTAGTTTTTGTTTGAGAGGGAGGTACCACTGATGTATTCTCAGTTTATTCTGACGCATTGAGTGAAGAGCTCTTTAAACTATCCAGTCGCTGCAGTCACAAAACTAACATGAAATGCGTCAATGATGCGCAGAGATAATAAATAAAACTAAGATTTTAACTGCGTTCATGTGTTCGAGACCTTGAGAAGCATAGAATCCCGGTACGTAGACCCATGTAGCTGGATTTTCTAGAATTTCCCTCATCAATAATAATTTAATTTATTGAGTTATTTATTTCCATAACGTAAAATAGAACTTCCATTTCTGCTCAGGTCGATCTTCACATCTGTACAGAGGTGTGTTTTCGCACTATTAATTAATCCTAGGCTTAATACCATTGACTTGTTCAGCTTTCAATTTGTGCATATTTTTTGCTTTCTTCTGTTAATTCATACATATATTCATTTATTTACTTTTTCGTTTCCGTCATTCGTTCATTTTCTTTCAACCCGCTACTTCTTTGGAAGTCATTTCGAAATGGTCCGGTTCGCCTCCAAACACACAAACTCATCTGTCCTGATTCTAGCGCTGAACACTGGGAGGTGTCCTGTGTCATCCAACCGCCTGGTTCGCGTCTGACCCTGGGTCATATCAGCTGTAGCCTTTTCAGGAGGATTCGTCTTGTGTGTGTATGCTCCGGCATCCATGCCACATGTCCCTTCACTTGCGCAAGGAACACTGTGAGTCAATGATTCATTATTTATTTGCAGATTCTGCAAGGAAACATGACACGGAGATTCCATTTTTTTGTGTGCTATTCACTGAATATTCTGAAACTGTGTCATTCCGCTGACGAATCAGTTGGCGGCTTTTATGATCTCTACAAATTATTAAGTTTAAAATAAATCGTTCAGTGTAATGCGTTCGAGGAGGCGTAACTGACTGTTTTTAGCCTATACACTTTCGACATGCGAAGGATGAGCACCCCAGTCAATGTGCATATGGATCACACCGAAGCTGGTAAAATGTTTCTACATTGCTATTGTAGGTATGTTGCTGCTTTGCTGTAAATCCCTTGCTAATGGGGGGAAAACGATTGAGCACTGATTACCCAGCTCAGATGTTTAGGTGACCATGTTACTCAGCTGTAGCCGTAGAAAGTTCCATACGGCATGAAATTAGACTGGATCTGTCATTATTGCCAAGCTAGATGATTTCAGTGGTGTTGAGCTGGTGTGGGTGTAGATAAGCAAAATGGGATAGCTTCGTTCTGATTTGATTCACATTTCAAGTGATTATTTTACAGCGTAGTTGCAATAAACGAAATCGAACAACTTCAGTCTCGAAAAAGTGATTCATCCAGCGGGACGGTGCTTAAGACGGAAATTACCCAGCAACAGCATAGCTGTTCCATAAAAATGAATTTTTATTGTGTATTTTTTCAGGACATTAAAACATGATAATTGATTTTTGTTCTGTATTTATTACTGATTATAAAGTCCACATGTTCAGAAAGTAAGGCGTTTCAGGTCTTGATTTTTGTCTAATTTTGAGCGCTGGAAAGTAACCGGTATTAGACAATGAAAAAATCATATCAGAAGAAGATGCCATGATTATGGGCAGCGAACATCATGTTAATCATCTACAGATAACAGTTAACTCTTTCCAACCTTCTCGGTGCTTTGGTTCTGTGTATTGACCCGGTTAATAATACTTATAAATAACAGAAAAGACGACACATCCTTGGTCAAGACTAACTCTACAAATCATTTAGTTCCTGTTATTGTCCCGTAAACAAGTATAAGAGCAGTTCTATAAGAATTTGACGAGCGTCAGTCGTTGGTCATTCCCACATTTTTATTCACAGTGTCCACAACTTTAATCAGACTCCTGTAGTCGTAAATATTTTTATGATTGTATTAGTGAAACATTTTCCTATGAAATACGGGCAAATTATTTCAGCTACCTTTACCAGCTCTGCAATCTAAGGTTTATTGCTATTCAGAGTTAAAATGAATATTGAATAATATATTTTTGCTTTATGATCTTCTAGACATGATCTTCTTTTACTGATATATAGACGGTTATTGATCCAAGTCCTAATCATAATTTGCTTTTCATTCATGCAAAATATGCATAATTAGCCAAATTTAAATGACAGCAGAGTTATGGCTAAATCCTCCAAGACAAAATCAGAACTAAAACTACGGCTCGCATTACCCAGATACTGGATTGCTGCGGCTTGGGCAACGCAGCAGCTGGTCAGACATGAAGACAGAGGCTGGTGAGAGTATTCAGCTTATGGATCAGAGCTGGTACGATTTATTAGCGATGCAAGCTCACAATTGTAGATTACTTGTAGGTGAAACAAGGTTTCAAGAGCTGGAAGAACGTAGTAAAATCCAGTGATCATTGCAACAAATGGGGGTAGCGTTCTAGGAACTTAAAATGGAAACCTTCAGCTCAACCAATGAGATTGCTGAGGGTGAGACGCTACGTGGGTACTCGACGTGGAAACACCTAGGAAAAACTTTCCACTATTCCGACACAAATTAAATAGCAGATTCGACATTCTTCACGTTATGCAAGAAGATGAAGCCGCGAATCAGTGGTCATTATTGTAATGTTTCAGGATATAGTGAAGGCAGCTGCAGAAAGAAATAAGGGAGAATATGTCACGAAAAAGGAATTTGATGGTCGATAAAAAAATCACGAACCAGACGTAAAGTTCATGAAGAAACGAAAAGAAATGCGGACAGCAGAAGATCAAAACTGAAGGGTCGATTACATGGAACTTTGCAAAACATTGAGAGACTGGATGAAAGAAGGCATCCGAGCATTCAACTTCAGATTTGTATAGAAAACTGTTGAAGACTAAATTCAGTGTAAGGAAGCGGCAAATTTTACTCGCGAAAGTAGAAGACTGGACTGTCATTAGGGGCTGACAAGAGATTCTATTGAGTGGAAGATTTCTATACATTAGACACCAGAAGTCAAATGGTACGTGAGGAAATTTCTCTGCAGAGATTGCTGTAATTTCTTATATGAATAAGTGGGACATGCACTAAAAAGGTAAAGCGACGTAAAGCTCTTGGCGAAGTCAGCATTACAGTGGAACTCATGAAATCAGGAGGTGATGCATCGAATAAGATGTAGGCGTACTTTTTTCACGCTGTTTGAAGGAACTGAAATATCCAAACGATTAGACTACCGCAGCGGTGGTTCTGCGCGATAAAAAGGGAAACAAAGCGGATTTGAACAGTTACAAGCAGATCAGTTTATTACCAACCATCTTCAAGATTGCTGAGCTAGTGTTGGACGCTGGAAACAAATGGAAAGCAGGATTTAGAAGCGGACTTAGTACGATGGATAATTTTCAAGTGTCACAAAAACTAATTATGAGAAACGATGAATATCAGCTTCTTTCCTGACTGCCGAAGGTTTATTGGTTTTGAAAAGGCTTTCGCTTCAACTTGTATTCATTCTTTACTGGATTAGTTGTGAAGCCAGGGATTCGAGAAAAGATATATAAATTTATTCACGGTGATTTGCAGGAACGCAGCTGCTAATGTGAAGTTACATAATAGCAGAAGAGAGTTGAAAGTAGAAAAGACTTCTGAGAGATTGATGCAATATGTCCGAAGAAACCCCGACAGTCGTGGGAGAGGTTTTCAGCATAGTCAGTTGGAGAAAACGTGTGCAGAACATAAGCGAGCATGAATTGAGCCTCCTGATTGCGGGTGATGTTCTCATCCTGTCAAGGTCGCCAGAGGAGTTCCAAATTAGAATCTGAAGGCTTAACGACGCTAGCATTAAAGTAGGACTGAAAATTAACTAGAACAAGACAAAGATCGTGTTTAACAAATCCTGACCGCATGAGCTGTTGAGATGTCAATGGACTTAAGGACATGTCGACGTGCAGAACAATGTCTTTTGAGGACAGTTCATCTCTGCAACGGAGTAGTGATTATGTGAAACCAATAGGGTAATATAAATGGCATGGGACGCTTGAGCAAGAATTCAAACGTTCTTATCCGGGAAAGTGCCCTTGTGTTGGAAACGGAAAGATTTCAGCACTCTGTGTTCGCAGTGACAAGTTGTATGTGATAATTCTGCACCCTATGCCTGAAAGCTGTTCATGCACTGCGGACTCTGCAACGCAACATGGAAAGATGTGTGTCTGTGTGTGGATGTGTGCGTGTATTGGTAATAGTAGCGCAAGGTCAGAAGACGAATGAGTGGTAAGAACAAGATTCTGCGACGTCATTGGCCCAGTGAAGAAGCCAAAGTGTTAAAGGGATGTACATTTTGTGAAAGGAATTGACTGTCTCCACCAGCAAAACATTGTACTGAGTTCAAGAGCTAGTAAACGACCATTGGCAAATTCTGTATGATCAAGGTGGATGAAAATGACAAAAGAAATGTCTTGTCGAGCGCATCATGCAGCCGTGGATCGGCAATTCATATGAGGAGGAGAGTTTTCTGCATGTTTTTTTTTCTTCGCGAAGATGTGGAATGGACCGCTACGGAACTTTGATTGATTGCCCATGAAACAGGTGGAAATGGCAGTCAAGGATGTGTTGGCAATCAGAAGAGGCGTAGCACGAAATTTTTATGCCCTTATGGCAGATTAATTAGAAAAATCGGCCATTATAATTTCGCTTGGAATGGTTAGGAACCACTTACCCTATTAATCGGGAGAAAGTCACATCAGGATAGCTGTTCACTGCTTCTCCAATCACTGTATATAAAGAACCGTGAATTATCGACCAGATGAGAACAGTTACATTTTCTTCAACTATGCATGATACATTTTGATTATTGATAATTAAAATGTCGTGTTTTTAGGTTTAAAAACAATTGTTGTGATTTTGCGCTGAAACTTTATTGAAAGACTTAATAATGTCATGCCGCCGCCCAAATCCCTTGCTTTCACTCCCTAGAAACTATTATAAAGAAAATTTTGGTGCGAACAGCATGCCTATGCATGTCATGGACAAGATTGCTTTCATGAATTTTTGTCTGTTATATCGGGTTGTTTTATATGCCTTGCTGGTTTTCATCAGTACTGCTGCAGGAAGTGATTCATGGAAGTAATTGCTCTTGAATGTTCGACTTACATGATTTTGGATAGTATGGTGATTCTCTCTGAATTTCAACTCAGCGACGGATCACGCGAAGTTATCTATCGTTGCAGCCTTAAGTACTGTGCTTTTCTTTATATTGAATTAATTTGAAATTTTGCCTTTTAGTGATGGACGTTGACTATTCCCCTACCGGTCAGGAGTTCGTTTCCGGTGGCTACGACAAAGTGGTTCGAATATTTCGAGCGAACGCGGGGAGAAGCAGGTAATCACGAGTGTAATTTGAAGTTTTTTAATCACATTCGCTGTTTTATTTCAATAACGCTTTCCTTTATTTACCTGATATTGTATTTGCCTAAATTTGTCGTTTTATTTTATACTAAGTATTTTTCGACGTTTTTAGGTGTGTTTGTGTGCAACATTTTGTTTTTATTGAGAGCTTTAGGGAAGTCTACCACACGAAAAGAATGCAGCGCGTTAGGTGTGTTTTGTGGTCTTCAGATGATCGGTACATACTAAGTGGATCTGACGAAATGAACATTCGACTTTGGAAAGCCAGAGCTTCAGAAAAACTTGGCCCGGTAACTATATATTGGAGATATGTATAAATTTTCATTTTTGCCTTCACAACAAAATTGCCTTAAATCAAATACCATGTTTTAGCAAGTGAGTAGCGCAATGAAATGACAAAATTTTTTTGCTAAGCAATACGAAAAGACACTGACTTCTTGCACATACGGTCTTCAGAGTAACAGTGACGTTTCCTGTACATCAACGAAAAGAGTACAACTCTTGAGAGGAGATAACCCAGCACAAAAATCCTTATCGGATATAAGAATGATGATTCTAGAGAAAAGACCTCCAGCAAGTAGGATTTGGACGGAGAAAACACATCTGAGAGTTATCACAACGGAATGTGAAAAGGGTTCCACTGTGGTAAAACATGTCATAGTGTATCTCAACTCCATAGTTGGGGGGGGGGGAAGATGAAAGAAGTCTTGCAAGTAGTGTCATATTTAATGGTGAAGCCTAGAAAGCGCTTCTGATCCGCGGAAGCAGTTGCGATAATCTCGAACTTGACGCCGATCTCAAAGTCACATTACGGCTGCTAAGAACCACCAGCTAGCGCGACAACATCAATCATGCTGGTCGACGCAGTCCTCTTGAAAATGACTGTAAAATATATTGAAGATCCGGCCAAGATAGATGTGAAGTGTTGGCATTTTTGTATGATAATCATGATTATAAATTTTATCATTGTTATCACCTTTGTGACTTTCAGGTCACAATATCATCCCCATGATAAGGAACGGATGCAAAATATTAAACATCAAATTTTACCTAATCAGAGAAATGACAATAAAGCAGCCTTTTGGTTCCTATAAATTGTTGAATTCTGAACTAAGAATTCGAACTCACACTGAGCTTAAGCTTTCAGTACCAACTGCTGATTCACCTCAGCAACGAATGTTCCGCAGTATGCTTCGTTGTATGCGGTAGGAGGTAGCTGTCTGTAAACATCTGCAATGGCGTCCCGAACACGTTCGCGAGGAATTATGGGGAGAATCACTAGTAGAAGGAAGCATCGTCAATTATAGAACCGCATTTGTATGGCTTTGTAAAACTAGAGCTTTACGACTAGACAGGCAACGTTTACACAGGACTATGACTATGACACCAGAGAAGCAGGAAATGTGAAAAAGTAATAAATAGGTGGCTCAGGTTTTGTAATTAACTTCAAAAAGTGCGGAGAAGTAACCGAATAATTGACTGAATAGTCAGTCAGGTTCGATGACTGCTTATTCTTTCGGGTCGGGGAGGCAGATGCGGCAGACAGTGCAATGGCGTTCGATCTTCGGGAGAAAATGACCAGAATCTGGAGCAGTAGATCGACACACTTGCCCCGTAGTATGCTTACCATCTAGAAGCTTAGTATGCTTACTACTAGAAGCTGAGCTTGTGCCGGTCATAGTTCATGGTAAAAGCGATTGTTCCGCATTATCCATGATTTGTTTGATATATAGTCATATTGTTTTACAGCAAATTAAGCAATATTTAATACATAATAAGTTAGTGGATATTGATGTTTTCATTGCTGTATTGAATTTGTGGAATATTTTTTGGTAAACCTATGAATATATCATTATTTCTGACGGAAATTTTCACGAGATTTAATTGAATTCTGAAAACTGAAACTGTCCTTTGCAAATTTTGGACTTGAGTCTGTTTACATTTATTTACATTTGTCTATTTATAGTTACACATAAGGGAAAAGAGAGCGTTTGAATATGCCGAGAAGCTGAAGGATAAATACCGCTACCACCCTGAGGTGAATCGCATCTTAAGGCATCGCCAAGTACCGAAGCATGTGTACAACGCACGGAATGAACTTCGCGCGATTCACGAGTCCCACAGGAGAAAGTACAGTATACAATGATGAATATTTTGTTGTATATCTTAAATTTCAGGGAAGCTAATCTCAGACTCCATTCCGCGCCTGGAACCGTTCCGTACATATCCGAGAGAGCCAAGCACGTTGTTGGTGAAGAACAATAATGCTCTGTATCAGATCCTTGTCTCTTTATGCTGTTTTGTATTTTTAGCATTTGCTTGTTTACATTCAGAAAAGAACCACTAACTAAATAAACGTTGAATTACGTAAATTTTGTTCATGCACTGTTGTCGAAGCCATCATCTTGAGCCATTTGACAGACAGGAAGTGTCTGGTATGTGATATCCTCTGAATCCGCAACTTTCCAACAGTTCTTTCAAAGCAGCGGCTACTGCATCACAATAATATTCGTTTTTCTCCAAAAGAGGATCGTCCACTGCTTCATTCCTTCATATCTAATGCTGCCTTCCTGATGATGTTTTACATTTTTCTCCTGCCTCACGAAGCCAATTTGACTAAATGGTGCATGACATATCACTTTCTTCAGCAACTCTCATCTCGTTATTTAATCTACACATGTACTGAGATTCCATGCCTATTAGTAGCGTCATCATGCCATATAACTTTCATTACGCGTCGAAGCCAGAACTGCTGTTAGGAGTTAAACCGTCGCTTTTGCTCTTTCGTTAGAACAATTGTCCTTGCCATGTGACAACACCGAACTTTCACAGCAAAGTATAGCCGGGTTACCTCGGAGTAACTCTTTTTACAGCTAAAATATTGCGATGGTGCCATAAGGCACTCGAGGATATCAAAAATCATTCTTAACTTGATGTTGGAGATATTTCTGACACTGTTGGAACAAATCAAACAATAACCAAGCTCGTATTTTGTGCAATCAGCCTCATTGTGCTCCATGATGATTGAAAGAAATAACAGAAGATTATTGCATCATTCAGATCTTACAGACTTGACTCCATGAGGTCAAAAGTTTGTCATTTTGGCACTATTTGCAAATTACTTCAATAGGACATGCCGAAAGCATCCACATGTGTTGCCAATTGTGAATGACATGGCGGAAGAGAAAGATATACTTGCAATTCTTAATATTAGCACGCATAAGACAACTTCTACAGTTCCACTGCACTTTATGATGATCTGTTTTCCTTCGTTTGCGAACAAGTGACTTAATGCACATCAGAAACGTTTTCTGTCGCGTTCGTTTAATTTTCTTCAACTGGTCTCTTGACGATTCATGACAAGTCTACCAACAAGAATACTGCCTGAACCGCTTCACACATTTATAACCGTCTGGTTTATCTTCATCTTCCATCGCCGTGGCTCCTTTCAGGTCGCGGAGGCACACACGTCAGACAGAGCTTCCAACGTTCCCAATCCTGTGCCAGGGTCTGAGCTTCCGCAAAAGACAAATGGAGTCTGGAACAGACTCCTTCCATATGTTTGCACCAGAATAATCTTGGCCGTCCTCTGGGCCTTTTGCCGGTCGGATTTCCAAGGAACAGTTGCTTAGCCTTCCTTACTGGAGGCATTCGCAACACATGCCCAAGCCATCGCAGCTGTGA